TGGGAATTTGGCACGCCGTTTAGGAAATGCAAACACATGAATTAATAAACTGAATTATGCAAATACGAACCTGAAATTTGCAATTTGTTTTAAAAAGCTGAAAGAACTCCTCTTAATTGGTTTATCCATGTCTAGGCATTACTCAAATGATTCTGGTTTAGCAGTTAGCAGCCTCTTGCAGGCTCAGAAAAAAAGCCCACAAATACTTTAAGAGCTAAAGCACTGAATTTTGCTCTCTTCTCTTAAAGGAAGGGGTTTGTTGCTTCCAGAACCAGAAAGTGCAAGCTGATTCCATGTTCTTCAGCTCAAAGGGATGTAGCACATGACTGAGTCATGATTTGCAAGAGGCTGGAGAACAAAAAGGGGCAAGAGCTCTGCACTGAGGGTTGAGGAGTAAATTCTTTAACCACCTTTTACCATCCTGTAACACCAAGGGTGGGATTGCTGCTCCTTAATGTATTTATCCTTGTTATACCTCACAGCACATGTAGGACAACTGCTGTGGAAGGAGGGAGAAAACTTGTACTGGTGCTGTGCAGAGGGAAATATCCTTCTAGGAGAAAGGCCTGACCCCAGCAGAGTTTTTATTCACAGACGTTGCCTGTAAAGTGTAACTGAAATTGAAACACCACAGAAAGGGGAATAAAAACAACAGGTCACCTTTGGAGTCACGGAGATACCCAGAGCTACTTTGCCTCATTTGAGCTTTACTCTGGCACAGTTGTACCAAGTCTGAGAAAATCAGCCTTTCAGCTCACAGCCTTTCCAAAATAACTGCTGGGAAATATAAAATAGAGCAAAACGGGTGAAATTCCGCAGTCCTTTGTTCCTCCTTACGAGCCTCTTCAGAATAGCAAAGAGGCTTCGGTGCCAGAGCCCGGCAGAATCGCCGTCCTTGCAGGCTCTCAGGATGCTCCGGCACTGCAGAGCAGCTCAGCCCGAGCTGCCTGACCCCAGGTGAGAGTGTGCTGTGATCTCCCGATCTGCAGGGCTGGCACCGGCTTCAAAGCAGCCGCCTGCCTGATGGTTATCACATTTTCAAAGGGGAAAAGAGATGCTGAAGGAGTTCTACTAAACCTTGAGAAAAGGAGTCCCAGGGCCTTAAACTCTGAGAGAGAGGCGAGGAAAATCCAATACCTCGGATGAAAAGTATTTGTATAAGGAGAGATCTTTATTCTGAGTGTGCTTCCAAAATCCAGGACAAAACATTATGCTCAAGATTTTCCTCCAGAGACTGGAATGAGGCTTAGGACTCAAAGGTGTCTTGCTGCTCCATATCCATAATTGATAGTGAGTTTAAAAGAATAAAAGATTGGTCTTAAAGAGTTATAAAATATTGGTAGTCCAAAGAAAACAATTTTTGACTCACAAATTCAGGTTTAGTTCTAGATTTAGAGCTCATTTTTTCAATGACCAGCCAAGGTAGGTGGCATTACAAAACCAAAATAATTTCAAGATGTCATAAGAAACTTTATTTTATGCAAGGCTGAGAATTAATTCCTTTCCATCAAGTATTTTACTATTTACTTCTCCATTTACAATTTTTTCCTAACACTGGAGGAGTACTGGCCAAATTCTGCCCTTTTCACTCTCAGCCCAGTCCTTAATTGGGAAGCTTTGCCTGAGAGAGGACAGCAGGTGCTGGTCTTCAATTAATAAAAGACTGGCATGGGGAGATCAGGGGCTGCTCCCAAGTACCACCAACCAGTTGCCAATTCAGATCCAATCCAGGGCAATCACATCTGGAAGGCAGCACAGCTAACACCTGCACCTGAGCTCTGAGACCAGGAGAACTGGTGGATTCTCAGCAATTTATATAAAATTGCTGAGAATTACCTTGCAGGGAAGTCAAGGTGAATTTTTTTATGCAATTTAAATAATATTCTCTAATCACCAGAGCTGGAGCAGCCTTCTAAAAAGCTGAGGAAAAGGGCCATGGAATAAGTGACATGAACCCAGACAATCTCTGCACCCTGGAAAGGCTCTTCAGTGTTGGACTAAAATCTATCACATCTATCACCAAGACTCTTGCTTCCTTTTGCCTGTGTTTTTCTTCGATAATTGGGAGATTTTAGCTATCAGAGTACGTCAAACCTGTACCTTCCACAAGCACTGAAGTCACCAAGACAAATATATCAAACATCAATATGAAACTAGAATGAAAAAAAAAAAAAAAAAAAGAAATCTGCTACAGCATCATCTAAACATAAGACACTAAGTAATAGCATTTAAAAAAAATCTATTTCACACAGATGAAAATCATTACAGTTCTCTAGAGACCCTCTCTCTCTCTCTGCAGCTCCCCATGTCATTTCCTAGCTGGTAAAAATGTGCCACAGGATATCAAAAGACGGTTACGTTCTTCTAATTTTAATATTCCTCTAATCCAATAATGGCTTGTTTACTGCTCTCTAATTTAAAGGTAATTCATTAGATGTATCCTGTCACATCTTATTGGCAATGAAGGCACAAGGATCTTACGCAGAGCTCTGAGGCATGTCAGTCATATTGCTAATATTCTGTGTGGGTCCCTCAATGCAAAGGGCTATCGATGCAATGGCACTGATAAGGGACTGTGTGTGTGTACCTACATACAAAACAACCAAAAATATTAGAAGACTTCAGGGGTGAAGTCTGGACCCAAAACTTTATGTTTTAACATTGAGAATTCTAGCAAACAGAAATAGAAGTGATTTGAGTGCAAATATTTGTGATAGTCACAAAAGGGTCTTGCACAGCCTGTGGGGAAGCCCCTGCCTGACCTGCAGGGGAATTGGATGAGTCTGCAGCAAATGATGAAGGTTAAGGAAACATTAGATAGAAGAGGCAGCCTGAACTCCAAAATGAACATTTCAGGAGCCAGAACATGCCAGGCAACATCTGTTGTGAGTCTCCAAAAGCTACCCCGAGTTTCTGAGCAGCCCTAAGGCAAAGGGACAGGAGCTGACCTGCACCTTGGCAGCTCGGAGGCACCAAGGTGAGGGTGAGAGCAGAGCAGGAGCCATGGGCACAGCAGGACAAGGTTCTTTCCTGCCTCCCCAGCCACGGCAGCATCCCCCCGGCTGCACGGTGTCCCTCCTCACCCCACGGAGTCTGTGCCCACCTCCCCAGGAGCAGCTCTTCTCCGGGCAATCAGGCAAAGGAAAGCTGTTCACTCCAGGTGAAAGCGCCGTGTGCTCAAACACGCTGCCCAGGCAGCTCTCCTGCCACAAGAGCTGGGAACCCTTTGGCTGCTTACACTCTGCCAGCAACCAGCTCGGCCACATCAGCTCTCCGTGCCAGGGCACTGATACCCCCGTTTTCAATAATCTCTTCCCAAGAAGTGAAACCAGCAACCAGCCAGACTAACCACACACGCGTGGCTGCTTAATGAATTGTTGACTGTCTCAGAGGAGGACACAAGGCTGAGAAACACAGTGACACCGTGCCAGGAAACCTCACCGTCTGCACGCACTGGCGTTATTCCCCAGGAGCATGGCAGGACCTCCAGTTTGGAAGCCAGTTTGGGTCAGTACGTGTCCAAACCCATCCCCTCATTGGCTGTCGGTGATGTCATGCCCGTGCATTAATCCCCGGTGACTGCAGGTTTAACATCACACGTATCACCCCATCTCTGCTAGCGGCAATGACCACGCGCCGTGGAGGAAATTACTCGAGCAGAGAACAAAGCAACTTGTTGAAACAGGCAAAGTCGCATCTCTTAAGTGATTATTTCCAGCTTTTCTTTTGTCAGAGTGAAGTTGCTGGGGTCAGGAGATGACACGTGCCTCGCTGAAAGGAGTGAGTATTGTTAGAGCTCTGTTTTAAAGTCAATCCTCCCACGCAAGAAAGTGGAAGAGCCAGTGGTGGGAAACCAACTGCTCTGGGAAATAGAAGTATCTCAGGAGCTACAAAAACGGTAGCTGAAAATATAAACACTCTTTAAAATAAAAAGAAGGGGAAAAAGAGTGACATTTAAAGAGCGAGCTTGACCCTTTGCTAGCGGCACCCTCATCCCTGGAGTAACGGGGGCAGTAAATGAATTTCGCGCACACGCCCCGGTGCAGAGACAGACTGAACTCCAGGACCGATCCTTGGAGTGTTCCGGACTGCCGCTCTCCCGGAGCCTGCCCAGCCCCAGGGCTCGCTGCAGGGCTCTGGGAAGCACAAACCCCGCAGGCACTGCCGGCACGGGGGTACCCGGCCTGGGCATCCCTCTGGTACCATCCCTGGGCAGCCCCCGGGGCCTCTTGGGGAGCAGATAAACCCCTGCCAGCCCCACACTGGCGGTGGCTGCGCTCCGAAACACAAGTTCCCTCGCAGCTGGAGCGATGCTTCTCTCCCAGCTGCTTCCCCCGGAGCGCATCGCGCACCGCCCGGCCCCGGCAGCCGCGGGGAGCCCAAGCCCCTCCCGGAGGGCAGCCTCAGCCTCAGCTCCGTGTTCCCGGCACCGAGCAGCAGCCCGGCCAGCCGGAGGGAGCCGCAGCCCAGCCCGGCCCCGCACCCCGCGGTGCCCAGCCCCGCTCCCGCTCACCTGGCCGCCGCCTCGCCCGGGAGCGGCTGCGGAGGCAGGAGGGGAAAGGGGGAATCACCCACGGGGGAGCGGGGACAGCACCCTGCGCTCAGGCTGCCAGGAGGATGCTCCGCACGGACTCCCGCACGTAGCGGCGCAGCGCCCAAAGTGGCTTTGGAACTCCCCTCCCACTCCTCCTCCTCCTCCGAGCCTGGGGAGGAAGCACGGTGTTACGGCTTCGGCGTCTCTCCCAGCTCCGCGGAGCATCCTCCCTGGGCTCTCGGCGGTCCCTGACCCCACCGAGCTCCGGGGGTGCAGAGCCGGAGCTGCTCGGGCGAGCTGCCCTCTCCTCCTTCCCTCCCTGTTCCCTCCCTCCCTCCTTCCCTCTCCTCCTTCCCTCCCTCCGCCCCGGGCAGCCCGGGTGCTGCCGCCGGGGAAAACCGCGCTGCCTTCCGGAGACAGAGCCCTCGCTCAGCCCGGGCTTTCGATCGCCTGACGGAGTCCTGACCTTATCTCAGCATCCCAGCGGTCGCTGCTCAGCCGAGGGAAGAGGCGGGAGATGTTTCCTAGCTCGCAGCCGGGCCGGAGTTCGCAGCATCTTTCGGAAGCTGCAACTTGAGAAGGGAGCGGGGGCTGAGGCCGCAACCTCCCCGCTCCTCTTACCGCATGTCCCCAGTCCTGCGGGTAATCAAGAAATCATCACCTTCACAAATTTGGTTTAAATGCTCAAAATGAAAATTGGTGTTTCCCTGGCTACAAAGTCGGAGTCACTTTGCCCCTCCAGCAGCCACCGGGAAACGGAGTCTCCTTGCTCTCCACTGACTGCACAACCTTTATCCCTCCTCCTTACACCCTCAGATTCTCCCGTGGCTCTGCTGCTCACCTAAACAGTGACGTCCAAATAAATGCTTCAGGGGCTGCCAGCATTTAAATACGTGTAGAATCGAGTCTCATTTCTGTGAGAGAGGGCAGTGTCTCACCGTAGGTAACCGCAGGGCTCAGTGCAACAGTAGGTTGATCTCAGCTATATTACCTAAATCCTGTTGTGATACAAACCGTCATCCTCCTGGACAAACATTCCTTTAATTGGAAGAATCACTGAAAAAATGCCTTGTGGAACAGAGCTTTTATCACAGGAAAACCCTCGCTGGCTACTGTTGTGGAATGGCAAATTGCCTCTCGAGTTGTCTTTGTGCAAGTTCTCTAGTCCACATGTGAAAAGCAGTAAAAATCCCAGCAGCTTCCACACCACCGTTCACAGAAAATTAATAATCCAGAAGCAGACTCTCACATCCTGGAAAAATTCACTTAGCCTGAAAGAAAGGGTCCAAATCCCCAGTCTTAGCTCTCCCTCATCTCGTGTTAGCACAATTCAGCTATGCTCTTTTAATCAGCAGGACTTGCAGTATAGTCAGAATAGGAGGGAACAAGCCCACAGCATGAGACCTCATCTCTCCATCTCATTCCTTATCTGAGGAGCTTCTTTACCTGTCACCTTCTTGCCTACTATTCCTGACACTTAACACCCCCTCCAGACCTCTAGTGAGCCTAGAAAAGGGGACAGAGAAAAGGCAGAAGCAGGAAGGAGCTCCAAGGCTGCATAAAGGAATGTGAGAAGCAGATGTGGCTACAAGGGAGGGAACTGGATGTACTGATGGGAAATGGAAAGATTTAGAGGACAGGAGACACAAATTAGCAGGAAGAAAGGTCTCATCTTGCTGTCTGGGGTACAGTTTGTTGAAAGTAGGCTGGTCAGGGCATCAGACAGGGATTATGTAGGATCAACAACCCCCTGATATGTGGATGGAGCAGTTTGCCAGCTGTGGGTGCTTTTCCTGGGCTGCTGAGCCACAGGAGACAGCAGTTCACAGCTCTCCCTGGCCTGGTGCTGTCCTGTGCTCATAATTCCTTCCCATCCCTTAGCTTCAGTTTCCCATCTAGACAGCAGAGACAGCCCCATTTCTAGCACTGGGCTGCTGTCAAAACGAATTAAGAGGTACAAAGAGTACTTTGAAATGCAGATATTCTGCTCACTAGTTTTAATGTCTCCAAAGCGGCCCCCAGATATCTCTAAATCCTCAACATATCCTTGATCAATTCCTGTTTTGCATAGGAGGAAGCCAGGCAGAGGGGCAGAGGCTTTAGTCCATTCCTTTTATGTTGTGTTCTGAGGGTCCCCCTGACCTTGCCACAGCTCAGTTCCCAGTTTTTGTCTGATCCCACCCAAAGCCACATTTTGCTGGTGACACAGAACAAGCTTCATACAGGGAGAGCCTCCACACCTAATTATTAATTACCACCCAATTAGTAATAAATTGCTACCCCCCAGACAGCTATTTCCCCTGGCATGTCAATGCCCAGGCTCGAGTTCCCATCCCCTCCTTACCCTGGAGTTACACCCATCATTCTGGCATCCCCTGTGCCCTGAAAATCCTGGGCACTCTGGGGCTGGACTGAATCTCCCCCTGTGTTTTCCTTGCCTTTGCAGGTGCACAGGGAAGGAGCAGGGCACAGGAGCTCCTGGTCCCCAGGCCTGTGATCAAATTATCTCTCCCTCTGTCACACATCCTAATCATCACAGCTGGCGGCCATGCCAACAATATTAACGCTGCTGAGTAGCTTTCAGTTTTGCAATTAGCAAGGTTTTCTGCTTCCCTCAAAAAAAAAAAAAAAAAAAAATAGGATGATGCTCCTTAGCACTGCATAAATGATACAGAGACATCCAGGGCCCACGTTCCTGCCTTGTTGAGATGAACTGACATTAGAAGTGCTGGAGATATTTTAAGTCTTCTGAAGATTAAAATGGTTACAAAGCTTATTATTTCTAAACATGTTTATCCTGCCTCTCTTTTTTGTTTGCAAAATTAGGCAAAGCACAGTTTAAACAAACAACTATTGTACTATTAAACATTGATTAAAGAAAAGGGTTCCATTTAAATTATTAAGTGGTAAGATAAAAAGCATTCCTTCTCTTTTGTACGCTACTTTATTCAGAAGTCAAACTTCTGTAGTCTCACTGAATGCTAATGAGCAGCATAATAATGCACAAGGGCAAGAGGGGGCTGAGTAATTAAAAACAGAGGCCAGAAATCAAAGGGCTTGAAATACACTTAAGAAAATAATTCAATTATACATTAGAAACCTGGGATAATCAAGACACATCCCACAGTTTCATTCATCATTATGCCCCAATTTTATATCTCTACTGCTTTGCTGTACCCAGGAAGCAGCAATTGGGACTTTCATGTGTGATGCCTCAGCTGGAGAGACAAAGGCAACGTGCACTCAGGTCCCTTCCTCATCTCTGCTCCTTGAAAAAGGCTTCACTTGAGTGAGTAGATTCTCACTTACCTGATTTAGGGAAATATTTTTGATCACAAGGTAATTCTGTTTGTTCTATATTCCTTTTCTCTGTAGCTTTGCAATTAATTAACAGAAATCTCTGCACCCACCATTTTTTTCTGCCCTACAAATCCATCTCCCACCACTCTCCTTGGCTCCTTCACCTCTTCCCGTGGCTTCAGGCTTGCCTGGTTATCCACAAAAACCTCTGTCCAGCAAACCATTTATTTAGCTGGGGTGGCATCATGAGACTCTGAGGTTTTCACACAACACAAGCTGGGTCAAGAAGTCCTGATGTGGCTTTGCAATGTCACTTTAATGGGCCAAGGAGTCCCAGCACAGCTCCTGGTCTCCAGGACAGCAAAGCAGACTGTAACATTTATAAGGAATTCTAGTGCCATGTAACAAAACAAGGAAAAATGAGACAGTTTAGTCTTGTTCAGTGACTTTGGAGGATTTAAGTGATTTTGCTTTGTGCAGTCTGGATGCAATAAGCAATTATCAAACTTAGACTCATTGCACTGACTCCAGCTTAAAGGAAGGAACTGTAAGTGATGCATTGTCAGGCACCATGGAAAAAAAACAGAAAAAGTGAAAACTAGAGTTTCCATCTGACAAAGAAGAGCACTGTGTTCACAAGCTTTGCAGATGTACAAATTCTTACCTCCTTTTGGTACATAATTAAGGCAATGACAGGAAAAAGTCTTGGAAACAACCCAGAAAAGAAAAAAAATCAGGAATTTTAGTAAAACCAACAGTGAATTGCATATCAGCTTCCTGAGAAATCACAGTCTGTCTCATTAGAATTTTTAAAGGTTTAAGTATAGAGACTCTGAGCTGTCTCTAATGAGCAGTGGAGTCAAACCAGACTCTGCTGTGCTCCATGAGGCCAGAGGGGCCCAGAGTCCAGCACAGGTCACAGCTTTGAACAGTGAGAAAGGGAAACAAGAACCTCAGGTTTCTTAGTTTTCCAAAACTAGGGGTCTCAAAATGAAAGTTCTGACTCAGCAGATGGGGACTGTTTAGTGTAGTTCCAACTATTACTGAGAATTGCTTCATCTTCCATCCAGGAAAAAACAAAAGGCTGCATGAGAAGGGCCAATTTCAACCAGTGCATGACAGCAGCTCATGTGGTTGTCTCAGGATTTTCCCAGCCTCATCAGCCACATCTTCCTCAATCAGAAATAAAGCTCTTTTGGGGATTATTCAGCTCCTCCGCCAAAAAAGATGCACACTCACTTGTTAAATAGGAGATCATTAAGACAAACAAACCAGCTCATAATGTCAGTGGAGCAGTGTTTGCCAAAGGTGGAGAGGGAAATGTACAAGACAGACATTAAATTTCAACCTACAGTGAGTTAGAGAGCAAAAAATGCATTTTCCCTCATTTTTCTAATGAGGAATTAATTTTTAGAAGAGAAGACACAGTCAGACACGCTGCTAGGTTTTGCAGAGGGAGTGACTGGAAGTGGGGAGCTGCAGCCAAGGGCAGAGCCTGAGCCACAGAGGAGCCCCTGTGCTCAATATTCGTTTCTCAAGTTTGTGGTTGAAATACTCTAACAGATATCTTAGTGACATCCTTTTCCCAGAAACAGTCTGGGGCAGTAATTCTGACAGGACAAGTCAGCTGTAATGAATCTCTTTCCTCAGCACAGATGGGGCCTCGCTTTACTCACATGCTTTGCTCCTTCCACTCCCTAAGACTACGTGGAGACAAGAGAAAGCAGCTCTGGCCTCTTATCTTACCTGCCTGAAACAATATAGTGGCAATCAATAAATGAACTACATTTTCTTTAAATATGCAATTACATGGAATAGATTATAGAAGTGACAACACCCAGAACAACTCCACAAACACAGAGCTGGGCTCTGATTTCTATCAATACCAGATGAAAGTCATGTAGCTGCTCATTTACAGCTCAAAGCTGCATTATTTTCCCTAACTCAGGCTCCATTGGTAGTCAGCTGAACACTCTAAAGCAGAAATACCAACTCATCTTGATATTCCTTCCACAGTAAATAATGATTTACAAAGGAGGGGGGAAATCTCCCTTCCCCTCCCTCTTTCAATTCATTAAGCTCAACTGTGATAACCAGTGAGGCATACAGGAAAGGGTTAGGTATCTCTGCCTCTGAATATTTAATTCAGGACTAAATGTAATGCACAGCATCCTTACACCCTTGGGAGTTCAGCAGCCAATATGCCAATGAATATATCCTGACAATAGTGATTTT